TCATACTCAGACAAAGAAGCACACAGAAGAGAGTCGTCAAATACCAAAAGTATGCCTAGTAGTAGTAGTAGTAGTAGTAGTAGTAGTAGTACTACGATGTCTGAGTGTGGATCGGTGGTATAGGGCCTTGCGCATGGTTAGAAGCGGGAAGGCGGTGCCTCAAGGAGAGCCGGCGATACAGGCCTGGAAAGACAATCTATGGCTACATGCCGAGAGGCTGAGTCAGATTTCGATTTCTTGTTTGTGCGGAGACGCTCCGTTTGTGCCATGTGACTGGACTAGGGTCCAAATAGCCTGGTTGCCCAAGCCTGGGAAAGCTCCATGTGCCCCCAAGAGTCTGAGAACCATCGGACTCATGCCCGCGGACAGCAAAGCTTTCCTTTTGGTTCTTAGGGAGCAGATAAGAGAAACGATTCTTCAGTCTCTTTACGAAGTACCGCAGTATGCATACCGGCCACACATGGACACCAATGATGCCATCCTGAGGGCAACGTATCACTGTAACGCCATCCGAGGGCTCCTACAAAGCACTGTCCGCAACAACACGGCTCGTCTCATGGGTGCCTCCACGCCTGAGCTGTGCGGAGGCCTCCTTGTCAGCCTCGACCTTGCTAAGGCGTTCGATTCTGTGCCCCATCAGGAGCTGTACTTCTCCTTGCTGGACTGCGGCGTGGAGTACTCGGTGGCGCAAGTGTTAATGCAGGTGCACATCCAAACGCAATGCGAGATTGTACATTCCAAACATGGGCGGTGCGTTGGTATGTCGCGCGGCCTGAGGCAAGGCTGCCCCGTGGCCCCCATCATGTACGCTGCCTGGACACGGCGATTCAGCCTTCAGCTCAATGCTGCTTTCGGAGAGTTCTGGAGCCATAGGCACTTAAGTATCTTTGCTGATGATACTTTGGTTTTCTGGCCTGTTAGTTCTAGACTTGCGCTGGTCAGAGCCATTAAAGAGGCGGGCACTCTGATGCAAATTCTTTCTTTTGATGGTATGACCATTAATTACGAGAAGTCATCCTGTCTCCTTGCCTTGGCGGGTACGCGAAAGAAGCAAGCGCTACAAGCTTACACCGAGTGGCATCAGAGCAAAGAATGTCTCCGACTTCGCGTTGGCAGCTCTCAGGTGCGCATACCCATCGTCGAGCAGCTCACATACCTTGGCGTACAGCTCTCGTACGGGAAGTTCGGGGCTCAGACTGTCCAGTACCGCGTTGAGAAAGCCAACAAACAGTTTCAGTCACTTACCTCCGTCTTGCGCTCCACCAGCAAGTTCAGCAAAGCAAACCGTCTCCGCATTTACAAGGCCTGCGTTTGGTCCTCCTTGCGCTATGGTTTGCTGGCAACCGGCATCAACCAGGCAGGCTACAACCAGGTTGTCACCACCCTTTGCATTCACCTTCGCAAGGTTCTTCGGGTCTTCGAACATGGCATTTCCAACCAGCAAGTGCTGCAGCAGGCTGAGCTTGATCCCCTTGCCTTCTTCCGAGATCAGGCTGAACAGCTGCGCGCCAGGATTATGCAGGATTCTGCACGATCTCCCGCGGTCGTTGAGCCGGAGCAGCAGCAGATTCAGGACAACCACAAGGTAGTTCATGCCATTTGCGATCTTCAGCCCCATCTCCCCCTGTTGGAAGTAGATCAGCTTCATGGCAGCTTTGAGTGCGGCAGATGCGGACTTCTTTTTGCCACGGAGGAGGGCAGAACCATGCACGTCAAACACAAGCACCCGGACTTGCACTGTCAGGCTGGGATCCCCTTTAGCCGTAGGGCACACTCCCTTTTTGGTCTGTCTATGTGCCGGTTGTGTAGAGTGCATTTGCATGATTGGGGCTCGTTGCGCAAACACATCGCCAGTGGCACTTGCCAAGTCCTTAAAGAAGCAGCCGCATGCGGGCAGACAATCGGGGCTGTCATGGACATGGTGGCTGAGCAGGAGCGTCTTCATCCTCCGATTCCACCTGCTCCACTCGCGGAGGTTCGGCACGTTGAGGCCCATGAGCCGTGGATGAGTTCACCATTGCCAGAGGCTCTTGCAGACGAGCATCTTCATCGGCGACTCGGGCAGGCTTGTGCGCTATGCGGGCAACGGCTCATTGGAATGGCCAAAGTGAAATCGCACTGGCAGGCGACGCATCCGAAGGCATGGAAACTGGCTCAGCACCGGGCTATGGGTGAGATGCAGAGTCTTAAGGCCACTTTCACCGTGCCGTGTCGGTATTGTGGCAGTCATGCGCGGAGCTCATCACAGCATAGCAAGCAGTGTCATGTGCTTTTTCAGCTTTGTGCCATTCGTGAAGTGTTCCGCGCGAAACAGATCGATGCTGTCCTCTCGGAGTCTACGCAGGTTATTCGGAGGCAGGACAAGTACAACCCAGAGTATCTTCGGTGTGAGCCTGCTAACACTCCCATTGGGAAGGCACTTCGAGCCGCCATTGCCGAGCCGGACACTTGCAGCAAGGCCCCACATGCGGCGATGGCGCCATCCAGACCCACCGAAACAGCAGCGCTCAGGCTTGCCACAACATCCACCCGCGCCACAACTGCCCCTTCCGGAGATGCTATGGCATGGACTCTCAGTGCTGTCTTATCGAATCCGAATGTGCTCTGTTATGTCAACTCTAGCATGCTTGCGCTGTTGCATGTTGGGGAGGTTACTGGGATGCAAGATCCTAATCTGGACAGGTTGCGCCATGAGCTTCTTCAGATGAGTGCCTCAAACTCGAGTCCCTTGCTGAGTTCGCTGCGAAGTTTTGGGTCCATTGCTAGAGGTTGGAGATTTAATGGTAGACAGGAAGACGCTGCGGAGTTTACCCTGCATGTTCTCACGGCGCTCGGCCTACGTGGTCTCTGGCAGTCTCGTGTTGATGATGAAGGTGGCGTGAGAGTTACCGACCGAGGCACAATGCTCTACTTTCAGCTCCCGTCCGTGTCCTGCACCCTGCAAGATTTGGTAGAGGCGTGGACTTTTCAGCAACACGTGTATGCGCTATCTGGCGAGTGGGATAGAGTCCCTGTGGTGCTTGGTAGGTATGCTCGGGGGCGCAAGAACCAGGCACGAGTTATTTTTGATGGTGATCTCCAGCTACCGGTCTTTGGCCATGGCAGTGATCTGCGCCAAGCCAGGTATAGGGTTGCAGCAGCCCTTGTTCACCTCGGCGATGAGCCGAACCATGGACACTACCGCGCTCTCCTCAGATACCGCAACAGATGGTACTACACTGACGATGGGATTGCCAGCTGCGAGACACAGCTACAGGGGGTTCATGCGTGCAACGTGTACCTTCTCTGGCTGGTTAAGCAGGGGCTATAGTCCTTTCCCCACTTCCGTGTTCGCTTGCTGCAGCAATGGCTGAAGCTCCTCCGTCGGTACCTCCTACTGATATTGGCGAGAATGCCTTCTGGGCCAATTCATGCCAGCAGGGAAGCAAGCAGCCGCCACAAAGGCTGGACAGGCAGCGGCCAGTGAGCGCATGGATGTGGACGCCGTCAGGACCAAAGATGATGGCGCAGGTGCTGAGGACTCAGAGTTCGATGGCCGCGGAGGCAAGTGGGCCAAAGAACAAACCGGCCGTGGCAAGGGACGCAACTCGGGCAGAGGCGGAGGCACCGCAGCCGGAGATGACAAGCAGCGCAAGGATCAGAAGTGGACAAACTGGAATCAGTCGTGGAGTGGCCCGGACTCCGGTCGGGATTCCGATCGACAGACCATTCAGGATCTGCGCCGGCAGATAGGCGCGCTCCAGAGGCTCGCGCTACGGCACGAAGATGCCATCAATACCTTACGAGCTGATTGCTCGTTCGTGTGTTTCCTCCGCACGCACGTGGATGCTTCTGTAGTCGAGCCACTTGCGCAAGCAAGATCGGCGTGGGCTGCTCAGAAAGAACGGTCCCCAGAGTCCTTGACAACAGTGTTATTTCAATGCCTGGCGACAGAGTTGCTTGCGCGCACTGTGGGTCTGCAGGAGGAGTCCATTAACCACCTGGCCAAGGTAGGCTGGTTCAACAAGGAGACCCAGAGCTGGCGCTACTTGCGGTGGTCGCAGAGCGAGAAAAAGCTCGAGGTGGACAGCAAGCCGCCCGTACCCCGTCAGTTGGCCCAGGATGTCATCCAGGACGTGGTGAAGCTCTCAGCAGAGGAAGGGGCGATAGCCCGTTTTTACCCCACGCGGCCGCTTCAGCCAGACTTGAAGGGCGAGGCGCTGGCACTGCTATTGCAGTTTCCGACAAGAGGAGAGACTGCGGACAAGCTCATTTCCCACATGAATCTCCTTTGCGGCTTGGCTGTTACGCAGCTATGCGCCTGCCAGTTTCGGCCCGAAAGGGGGCAGCGCTCTGGTCTAGCTGTGGCTATCTCGAAGGAGATGGCGTGCTAGCGCGCTGGGGCTTGCAGCTTTTCTTGCATGACTCGCAAATAATTTGCTTCTCCCGATGCGGAGATCAGAGGACTCTTTGGCGGAATCGAGTGGATGAGTGCTTGCGATTACTTTACATGATGGCCGTTTCAGCTTGACGTTGGGCATTTGCTTTCTTCAGGCTTCGTCGGAGATGGCTGCATTTGGTTGGTCGTGGGCCTACGCCTGATTTTGCCTACTACATGCCTATAGATTGTGCTTAAGGCTGCGGACAGCATTCCTACTTCGTGCTGAATGGCGTGATGAGGCCATGGCTTGTGCAGTTGCTATTTCGATTTCGTCCATTTCTCGCATAGCTTTTGGCAAGCCACTCTGAGCGACATCCTTCATGCATTCCAGTTTTGGCTGCAGCAGGGCATGAGCATGGAGCTTAGTTTTGAGGAATGGAGTGAATTGGTGGCTCTGGAGGCCCCCTCTATCTGGGGCCTTGCCGTGGCAAAGGCGGATGTCCTTGACATTTCGGAGCCTACTTTTCCTAGCGAGGAGCTCACAGAGTCAGAGGCAGCGACTGATGATCCCAGCGATATCAGCATGCACATGTACTCGCCATCTCCGGTGCAACCAGAGGCGTTCCCCGTGCTTCCAGGATTCAATTTGGTTCGCAGTGCTCCACTAGCCGAAGCCGCAGATGTAGCCTGTCCTTGTGAAGTTATGGCTGTGGCCGCCTTGGCAGCAGGTTGGATTTCTGAGCCCGAGCTCATGCAGCTTGTGCATCTTCTTCCTACATGCTTTAGACCTTTCCAGCGCTCTAGCGAGTGCGAGCAACCCACATGCTTGTTCACGACAGGTGCCTACATAAGAGGTCCCATGGCAGGGGTCATGACCAATGTTCGCAGCTATCCTGCTGCGTAGTGCAGCTCCGGATGCCTTCTTTTCATCGCTTAGTGTGATACTCAATGTGCAGTCTGATGTTCATCGTGATTCCCATAACCGCCCTCGGATTTGGAATACGCTGGTGCGGCTCTCAGAGTTCTCTGGCGGCGCTTTGTGGCTGGAGGAAGAAGGCGGCCCTGTCAGACATCAAGGGCTTGATGGTGTTGCGCTGGAGTTGGAGCGCCCCTTTGTTCAGTTCGACCCTCGCAGAAAACATGGCACCATGGAATGGTCCGGCAATCGGCTAATTGCAGCTGCTTTTCATATTAGACAGCCTGAGTTCCTCAGCGATGCGGACAGGCGCTCGCTTTCGTGCGCTGGATTCGTACTGGCCTAGCATTTCTTGGCAAGTGGAGCAAAAAACTGGTGCCTCCTGACATCATGCTCTATGGCTAGCGAACTTGCTCCTCACGGAAGCTCTAAAGCTGCTGCAGGTGGTCATTTTGACTGCCAGACGTTGTCGCTGGGCTGCCCACTCAGACATTGCCACATGTGCGTTTCCTACCTCAAATGGTGGTCATTGCCACAGGAATGAAGCCTCCTCTTCTCAGCAGTGTACATACGGATTCCTTGTCTATAGCCTGGTTTACGACCATGGGGAATGCTGTGATGGATATGCTGCTGGACGCAGGGCAAGCCATCGGCTGTCGGGTCGCGTGACTACGGGCAGCAGCATTCTCTTATGAGCTGAAGGGACGCCTTCCTGCTCTGTCGCGACGGAACCAGTGGTGTATATAGTCCTGGAGTACTGGTACTCTGTCTGCACGTACCAATGTTTGCCTCTGCTCTGCTTGCTCGTTTTAGTTTTGTCTCCGCTGATAATGTTGGGCTCCTGTATAGCTGGCACGCGTCGCTTGGGGTTCCGATCCGGGCGTGTGCTGAGGGTGCTTGGCTACTGGTAGCGACCCTTGTGAGCCTTTTTTACGTTGCTTCCGGGCACTGATCTGTGCGCTGCATCAGCCGGCTCAAATGAGCTGCCGGATACGCAGGATCACAACTGTGATTGCGCCTCGAGAGAGAGTAGTAGTAGTAGTAGTAGTAGTAGTAGTAGTAGTAGTAGCGGTAGTAGTAGTAGTAGTAGTAGTAGTAGTAGTAGTAGTAGTAGGAGGAGTAGCAACAGCAGTAGCAGTAGCGGGTCGTAGCAGTACGTAGCAGTACCAGCAGTAGTAGAAGCAGCT